GAGCCGTTTGTATGTTCTTTTGATTTTAACTATTTTGGCTATAGTCTCCTCCACAAGATCTGGACCGAATAATTTTTTATCACCCACATCTTCCCAACAGATCGACGATCTGTATGGGCGGGCATATAACGCCTCGTACGGAGCCATGCCAATACTTGCTTGGTAGCTGTTATTGTAGGCGAACTCTATTAAGGGTAAATGATCATCCCAATGGTCCCCGAAGTCAAGAACACAAGCTTGGAGTATATCCTCTAGTGTGCAGATTGTCCTTTCTGATTGTCCATTGGTTTGAAGGTAGAATGCGGTACTAAGGGATAGTTTCATTCCCATGACTTGCTGAAAACTAGTATAGAACCGAGAAGTAAACTTGGGGTCCCCATCGGACACTACTGTCACTAGCACTTTATATAACCTGACTATCTCCCAGATATACATTCTTACTAACTTGCTCAAGGGGTCAGTCATCTTGATGGTTAAAAAGTGGAAAGACTTAATAAGCCGGTCAACAATCACCCAAATGGCATCATGTTCCGAGTGTGCCCTAAGCAATCCTATCACGAAATCTATTGTTATGTGTCCTCACTTTTACTCCAGAATTAGTAATGGCTGAAATAGCTCGCCTGTGCGTTAATGCTCTACTTTGACTTGTTAACATACCAAATACTTGGAAACAAAGTCGGTCACATCTCTTTTCATCTTGTTTCACTAAAATCGGGGTCGCATACTTTGATACATCTTAGTACTTCTGGGATGCATGAAAAACTTTGAGTTTTGGGCCTCGGTCATGATGTCCTTTTTCAGCTCACTATTACATGGAATACATACTCTGTCTTGAAATCTAAGCAACCCATCGGCAGAGACTCAAAATTCTAAATTCATTCCCTGTTCTGCATCTTTTTTTAGGGCTGCTAGGGTGGAATCAGTGGATTTATCTTTCTTTATTCTTTGGATCAACTCCGGTTGAATAGTCAGGTGGGCCAAACATGTAACCCTCTTTAGGTCCTGAAGTCGTACATGTTGTGTGACCCCTATTGCCCTACATTCTGAAACTATTAAGTGAGCTAATATACCTGCACTTTTTCTGCTGAGTTCATTGGCTACCATGTTGCACTTGCCTAGGTGATATAAGATGTTGCAATCGTACTCCTTGAGGAGTTCTATCCATCTTCTCTGATGCATGTTGAGATCATTTTGAGTGAATATGTGTTTCAAACTCTTATGGTCGATGTAATTCTGAAATGTCTCCCCATACAAGTAATGACGCCAAGTCTTTAAGGCGTGGATAATCACAGCGAGTTCTAAGTCATGGG